CCACCACCCATGACGGGTCAAATCAGAAAAAAATTTGTTGAAAAAATTTATTTAATAATCTTTGACAATTGTAATTGGAAGTGTGGTTTCTTCCCACAGATAAAATGGATGTAGATGAAACAGGTGTAAAACCACTGTTAAATTGCCCTTCTGAAGATAATAGCTTGCAAAGAGTTCAAAATAATTGTGAGACAACATCCGCAGAAAGAGATACACGGTGGACAACTTACTTTTCACAATAGCTTTGGGAATGATGATGCACCCAGATTTGTTTTCCCTTTGAAATCTTACCAAGATGAAAAAATTCAACGTTATCTACGAATTCTTATTTTTGCAGTTCATGTATTGAATGATCACTTGTCACAATTAATGATCTTCATTTAGTAGTAGTTTTCTTGAAACTTAATGTGGCCTAAATGGGGTGCAGGTTATTTTAAAGTAAAAAAAGCATTCTTGAACCAAACATACAATTTTTAAATTAACAGTACTAGCTCTTTTTTTTTAATTGAAAAAATGTTCCCATCCCCTCCACACTTCTCTCCTACAATTCTATATTGTTTTTATTTGGGATTGATAAACATCAAACATGTTTATTGCACAATGTTGTGTTTTCTGGAAATTAAAGATTTACATAATAAGTTAAATAATAAAATAGGCTTTGATATATTGACTCATCATACACAATTGTAATTGTATATGTGACTCAATAAATATTATTATTATTATTATATTATTATATTATTATTATTATTATTTAATTATTATTATTATTATTATTATTATTATTATTATGATTATTATATTATTATTATTATTCATTATATATTATTATTATTATTAAATGCTTATGTGAATAAACAGTTCTTTTAAAGTTATAAGGATAAAAAGAGACAAAAATCCAAATTTACTTCAAGTAAAATGTGCTTTCAACATTATACAAAACTCTTAAGTTAAATCTAAACACATTAGATTGTTTTCAGTGAAGTCTCCGTAGTACTAACTATAAAATTCAAAGTTTTGGAACGAGTTTTCAGCAGCGCATATTTTTGTGTCAGTATGCCAGCTTATAAGGCTAATCTTAAAAATTCTAGATGTTTTTACAGCATGACTTGCAGGATTGGATCAGTATGCACAGACTCACGATTGACTACCCAGGTGAGCTTTCTGCATTTTGTAAGGGCCGGTTGGAAATAAACAAACACATTCATAAAGTACAACAATATTACATCCAACCATAAAGATGGAATAATTAAAAAATATCCCAAACATTGCCGTCACTTCACTCACTCCTAGGAATGAGAGGGTTTAAACATGTGCGGTTTTGGAGTTCCAAATAGTTCACGACGAATTTAAATAAATTTATGCGGTATTTAAAGTTAATGGGTTGTTTAAAGAATCACGAGCCAGAGACAAGTGCTGCATCAGGCAACCTCACTTCCATCTGGCAACCCAAGCATAGATCTTCTTAGGTGATATCAGATCGCAGATTCAGCATTAATAGATCGACAAATTCAACGCACATTAACTTTTAGGTGAGAAAAGCATTAAATATAAAGTGAACTAAATTGGAGGATGAACTAATATTGGAGGAAGAACCACAAACAGTGAAACATGCTATGCAGTGTGAAGATGTGTAATGATGGTTAGTGCGCACAAAAGACAGTGATGAGGCATTTTAAGAACAAGCAAATAGTGAGAGCATTGGGCAAAAGAATTAACATTATCACAACAATTTTCTAGAATAAATAAAAAGTAATAAATTACAAAAGATCTCCTAATGCCCTTCAAAATCGTGATGGTCATCTTATTTCTGGTAAGTAAGGTATAGCAAAATGGCACAATAAAGGGGAAGTTCTAAATGCATTGACAACATACAGATTAATTACAAGGATTTTATAATGTACATCTTTAGTGCCGCGCCTGTTACTTGAGGAATACAATAATTAATGAGTCAATATTCTGAAAGATATTTTTCAGATTTATTAGATAGATAGTAAGTTATGAAATACTGAATAATAACTTTTGATGAATTATGTCAATTAATCATCATTTGTGGCAGGCATTAACTACTAATTTTTGTAGCAATCGAAAAATCAAGATGCAATGTCCACGAAGAAATAAATTAAAATTAAACAACACACCTGGCGCTTATCAGAATTTATGTCGGCCAAGCAGTTTAAAACTTCAGACTGTGACCACAGACATTTCCCAGTTCTCCGACTGTCTAAATGAACATACTTTTCTGGGCCTAAATTCAATTTGTTTAAAGATAAAACAAATTTCGGGACTGGTTTCTGGAGAACTCGCATCCACTGTTTGCAGCTTGCTTTCCACACTGTTCTGCAACTTCTGATACTAAGGACGTTAAGTGAGCGCCCAGAAATTAATCCTAGGCGTTTTGAAGAGATCTAAATTTAAAAATAAGAGAACCTAGAAAAAAAATGTTGCTACGATGAATATAATTGTTGAAACAGTATATAGTGCATGAGGAACTTTCCTTCTCATAACCATCATGAAGAGACCACACTGTAGCACATGAGTGCCCGATATACAAAAACTAAATGATACCGTTCTCGGGTGTTGTATCATTATTTAGATGTACTTTGCAACTTTACCAAATCCAGCTGATGTATTTCTTGTAAATTGGACGGTCCTTGTAACAAACCCTGCATACAAATAGGATTAGTAACCCAAATTGCATCACATAAAAAATGTTTTAAATTACAAGTGTCATTCAATATAGCGCCTAAGAAATAACGACATTTTATGGTAGTATTATTTGGATTTTCAAACATTAATCTCCTTTCAGCGTCCATTCAGTTTTCAAGGTTTTTTCCAAATTTTTAAGCTGTTCAAAACGGAAGTTTCGGAATGTGCTCCTTTAAAATAGGCATTTGATAGGGCGATGACTTCCTGTTAGACGCTAAACCAATTGTCCTCCCAAACCATTTGTTTGAGTTAGGGAAATAAGAAACTGGGACCAAGTCCAGTGAATATGCGTGGATGTATGTAACAATTGAGAACAAATTCGTTGGCGCAGAAAGCGAGAGTGCGCCTCGCCTTTGCACGAAGGAGGAATCCGAATTCCGATTCTTGTTCGATTCCTGGACAATTTCGACCCCTGAAGTGGTTCCTAAACCCCTACCCCTATCCTAATTCCTTCCCAAGTTCTGGACGCTGGGTAGTGATGCAGCGTTCTCGGTTGTAGGAGCTCGTACGCGGGAGATTGCTATTTAACTGCGCGCCCTCTTGGACAAACTGACTGCGACGAAAATCGTTAGACATAGCTATACTGCCAATAATAATAGGAGCGGATTACTCCTTAAGCGCCATTAGGAATGAAGGATTATTCTCATAGCGCAAAAAAATTGAAAAAATAAAATTAAAAAATTCCACGCTTAATGTGTTGCCACGCAAATGCGCAGATGTGCACCCGTGCGTTGTCTTTGATGAAAGAGGATTCTTTTTCCTTTTCAGATTAGCGCTTTTTCCTTCATTTTCTTCGCTCAGGACGGTTCAATTGATGACGCACAAATACTCTCCTGCATTATTCGTTTTCCCATTTTTCCAAGGTAATTGATTGTAGGTTGAATTCCGTGAGCACCCCAAAAAACCGTGATCGTAACCTTGGTCGCATGTAATTTCACCACCTTCGCTCTTTCGGGAGCCCCATTCGCCTTTCAAAAATCACCGAATTTTATCGTATCGAATTTGTGTCTGGAAGTGTAGCTAAATGTACCCATGTGTTTTCACAAACCAGTTGAAATATTTCGACGCAGGGAAGGAAAATCCCCTCGGATTTGCTGACCGAAAAAGCGCCAAAGCCGAGCGTTTTCACCACACGATTTGCGTTTATTTGTCCACTGTCGCAAAACGCGGGCACCCATCTTGCCGAAGCATTTTTTTTCACAACCCAGATTTTTTTGTGCAAAAATGAAAGCGGGGGCGGGACTTTGTTTGTGCCTTTGGCCCAATTGAAGCCTGTTTGGCTTCCCCAAAAACTATTTTTGGGCGCCAAAAACTTTTTTTTGATTTTTTTCGACCCCCATTTCACTTTAAAAACCATTATCGTGCGATTTGGGATCCCTCCTCTCTT